CAGTGTGTAACATTTAGGATGATATACTGGCAAAAATTGAATATAATATTCATAGGTATGATTTAATTTGTGTATAATCACCTGAATATAGGAATGATTGTGTTGTCTGCTATGTTGAACAGCAACCCAGAAGGGACAAATCAAACACTGGCTCAGACATTCGAGATTTGAAATTCAACATACTTACTCACCATGTGCTTTTTTGGCAGGGAAGGAGTTAATATGAGTAAAACACCTTGATGAACAACTGTTAATAAATAACTGATAATAAATGATAAGTTCAGTGTATAGCAGTGGCCCTTGGGGTGGCACAGGTCACATAAAAACACCTTGAACGTACATAAAGACATTTGTCATCACCTGTAGGTCAAAAAACTGAATACAACTAAATTCAGTATTTACAAATCCTTGCACATTTCTACTTTTTCTGGTTGAAAAATGCCTATCAAAGATTGTGAACCAAGCCGCAGCCTCAAGCATCTTTCACAGCATGTATCTTCATGCACACCTGTGTGGTCTGTGTTGTTATAGCCAGTGATAACAGTGTAGCAGTGGTTGCGCCACTGTGCTGAAAAATAAGACATAAGGATGGACACTGCACAGACAAGGGAGGTCTTTATGCATCACATGTCTGCAGTTAGGATCAGCCCTCTGAGCACAAAGCAGCATGGGTGCTGTTCAGGGAACGAGAGAGAAAATAGAGAGACTGTGCAGATGATCTAGCCACAGGGCCTTTTCCCGTGTGTGTGTGTGTGTATTCCTGGGTTATGCTCTCTGAGTTACATAAGCTGTTTGGGAAAATGGCTAAACTCTGCACACAGTGAAAGGGGAGGGATGATGGTATCAAAAATACAATTTACAAGGGCTGAAAATAACCCAGATTTTATCCTAAATTACACAGAGACACACACACACAGACAAGCTACAGTAATTCCAAAGTCTAATACCATTATGATTCTCCAAACTTCTCTGCCAGTTTTCTTAATGTGCGCAGAACTTTTGACGTTGTAGCGTAATCCTCTTTTCTCTCCTCATTTCTCTCTTTTCTGCAAAATCACCACGCTCATCCCTTTCCCTTCCAACTTCATTATTGGTTTCACTGTGCGTGTCTCGGCTGTGTGTGAGTGCACATACGGTACAGCGCCGTACGTTTCTATGTGAAGCACCAGTCTGCCACTAAGCCGTAGAAATACATCAGCTTCTTCCAACAAATGCCACCATCTGCGTGAGACTCTGATGCCGGAGTGTCTGTGTTGTGTGCTTACGCATCTCGATTTGCAGTTAAGGGATAATCCCCATTTCTATTATTTGGTACAGATGATACATGGGATTAAGAGAAGTGTAAAACACAGAAGAGACTAAATTGCTGTCATGGTTGGTTTTCTAGTATTTACCTAAATAGAATAAAAGCAAGATTTAGTGGTAGATTTAGGCCATGGTAACGGAGGGCATGGAGGTTTTTTTTTTTTCATGGAAGTGTGAGCTGTGTGTGAGGTTAACCGCTACAGTCCTTTAGATGAGGTGCTGTGCAATTCAGTAGTGTCAATGTGAGTCACATTAATTGCTGTCTTTCTGAGTGTTAAATAAGAAAAAGTAAGGATCTAGAGCCAGGAGGTGATTAGCTTTAGCAGGGTCTGCTGTGTGATTTTTCCCTCGCTGTCTGTCTGTCTGTCTGTCTGTCTGTCCTTTGTTTTACAGGTCTGTGGGCGGGATTAATCAGTGCACCTGGGAGAGTGGCCAGGCGCTCCCAGGTTCACTGATTAGCCTTGGGATGACATTTAATGAGTATCATGGCACCTGTCAGTGGGTGGGATATATTAGGCAGTTGATCTGTTAGAAGCAGGAAAAATGGGCAGCGTGAGGATTTGACTTTGACAAGGGCCAAATTGTTCTTGTGGGGTGTTCCCGGTCTGCAGTGGTCAGTACCTGTCAAAAGTGGTCCAAGGAAGGA